AGCTCGGCCCACACCTCCGCGCCGCCCGCCACCTCCACACGGCACAGGGGCACCTTCGCTGAGCCCATCACTTCGTTGCGAGAAAATCTGAAAGAGGAAAAAAGTTTTTGTCAATGTATCGTCTTTTGTGGTAGACACATCGTTACGATTGAATTTATCATATTTAATACTACTCGCAAATTCGTCCGCGTGAAATTAAAAAAATAATATAAAACACAGCTTATGTTACTACCTTATAACGAAGCTTTTTAATTGTGAAAGAATTTTTAAAATCAGCCCAGTAGTTGTTGAGTTATTTCAATACATTACAATACAATAAGATAAAGAGGAAATATTAGTATTTTTGTACGTATTGAAATAGCTCAAAAATTACTGGGTCGACTTCAAAAATTATTTCACCATTAAAAAGCTACGCTACCAGTGAGTAATATTAAGTATAAATATAGAGATTATTGTCTGATTTTCCGTATATTACATACAGGAGCTTTGACAACAGTTTGTAATTAAAATAAAATTGCATTCTCATAGAATACCTGTCATAATCAAACACTTGAAGCAGGAGAGTTTTGTCACCCAGTTCGTCATGTGATACCGGGAACTTGAAGTGCTGGTCGAAGAAGGGGTTGGCCTCATTCCTGTGGACAGGTGTCTGGCGCACGCGCGTGTCCACCTCGGGCAGTAGGCTGACGCGCACGTAGGGGTCGTTGAAACCTCCTGCTTCGTAACCCGCGAGGTCGTGCGCTGAAAGATTTTTTTGACTTAATTACCTGCTGTCTAATGTCTAGTCAGTTTTTCATGCTTGTTCTATGATATATTTTTTACTGAGTGCAGTAGTCAAATTACCTTCAATGAGATGAACCTCTAAATCAGATCTGTCAAAGTCGTATTTTAATCGTAGATGTATTCTGCCGAGCGAGGGCCCTGCGCCTTCCAGTTCTATGACGAGAGGAGCCTCCCGCTTGGTATAGAGGTCGGGTTGCAGGGCTCCCAGGGCACTGATGG